GACAAATTGAGGTAAGGAATCGTGTATTGTTTCTGGTTGAATTTTTGTAATATGATTGTTGATAGCTTGATTGGATAAAATTGTACTTTCGTGGTTTTGTAAGGCCTTATTATTATTTGAGTGCTACTATTTCCACACTGTGTTATATTTCTTCACCTAACTTATTTTCAAAATTTTAAAGACAAATTCATTCCTTTGTAAAATGACTTCTAAGGAATTAGAAAATTTGGAATGGGTGTTTGTGAAACTGTCCATGAATATCGCCGCAAATTGTCATCGGGCATTTTTTATTTTCATGTGTGGTATTAAATGGGAAAGTTGATAATAAGATGTTGGTAATAATAAGATGTTGGCTTTTTGAAACTTTGTAGTTGTTAGGATGTTGGTCTGGACTATCAAGTTTTCTTGTGTTTAAATAACTAGAAAGTTGACGAAGAATAGCTGTCAATGGTAAGAAGACACAAATGAGAAAGTGATAGATCACGTGATGTGCGTAATGAGAGAGAGACACCCTTTATTTTTCCTAATATGAAAATTTTTAGAATAAAAGGGAAATGTTCAAATGTGGTATGCAACCTGCTAGGACCCAAAACCATTATTACAAGAAATAAAGCACTTGTATATAGCCAACCCAACTCTAACAATGCTTTTGGTTGGTAGGAAAAGAGACTTGGAAATGAGAAATCAAGTCGACAAATCAAGTCGAGGCTCGAAGTACGGGAAAATATGGGGAAAACGAAGCAAGCATTTCATTTTCTTATTTACATACCATAATTTAAAAACTAAACAAAGTTTGTTTGTGATTCATGCACAAACAAATATGGGACATGAAATAAAATCCTAGTGACTTTTTTAGTATTACCTGAGGAATGAATATTCCATTTCTCTTAAGATGGGAAAACCCATGGGATTTATTTCTCACCAATTTATTTCCGTGAATGAAAAGTAAAAATGATCTTGAGCTTTGCTGAATAGTAAAAGTCAAATCTGATCAATAAAACGTCCCAACGAAGAGTAGGAAGAACCACCATCCATCAAGGCTTTCTTGCTCTGTTCGCTCATCTCCTTCACCCTCTCCCTTATAACGCTATCATGCTTCATCACGTGCCTTATCCCTCTCTCTATTTCCTCTGTGCTCACAACCACTTGGTTGTCCTTAGCATCTATGTTAATTTCCACAGCCAGCCTCAATTCCTTCACCAGCTCAAACGCATTCAATGGTTGCTCCGCGTACAATGGCCATGCGCCAACAGGCACATCGTACCACAGACTCTCCAGCGTGGAGTTCCAACCGCAATGGGATACGAACCCTCCGATCGCCCGGTGAGCCAAGATGGCCACTTGTGGGGCCCATCCTATGACCTTCCCGATCCCAGCCGTTCGATCCAAGAACCCTTGGGGCAACACCGACGTGGGATCTTCATGGTCCTTCGGCATGGCAATGGAAACACTAGGTTTGCCCTCCTGCGGCGGTTGTCGTAGGGACCACAAGAACGGGAGCCCGGTGCGCTCCAGCGCACACGCGATCTCCCTCACCTGGGCCTCAACGAAGCTTCCCATGCTCCCAAAGCAGAGGAAAACTACAGACGATGGAGGCTGGTCATCGAGCCAATCGAATATATCAGACTTTTGATTGGCTTGGTTCCCACCTCTCCCCTGCAGGGGATCATTGCTCTTCAGATTCAGTAGGGGACCCACAGGGTACACGGGCGGAGTTTGACTTTGACTATCAGAAAGAGAACGAAGAGCATGGGGTTCTAGCTCCAAGAACGTGTTTACCAAAATACCCTTGGTTTCTCTAAAACGTCGAGCATGGCGGAGGAAAGATTCAGCACCCTCCTTGTCCAGAAGTATACCGGGCAAGACTCTAGCAGGGACCGGACTGGAAAAACTCGGGACCACCAGCTCAGCGGCAGGGCCCATCAACTCAGCGACGTGCTTTCCGCCACTCTCGTCAAGAAGCCTTTGGAGGTCCAGCATAAACCCAAGAGACGCAGCGTTGGAGGTGTGGAAGATGTAAGAAGGAAGCCCAAGCTCGTTTGCCACGTCGACAATGGCGGTGCAGAGCATGTCAATCACAAGCCCGGCAAGCCGAGTCGCCTTTGAGTCGGCGAGTTTGGCGACAGCGTCCCTGATGAGGGGCTTGCGATCTTCAACAATGGAGAAGGAGGATGCGGTGGTCGGGCCAGCTTCTTCTGGGAGGTTGACGAAGCTGATGCGCTGTTGTGATGAGACTGAAGAATCTCTAGTATTGTCAGTGATGAAGTATTCGTGCTGGTCGTCTTCCACCGCCGGTAGCTTCGTGACGAGGAGGACTGTGATGAAGAGGTGGTCATCTCGAGCAACGAGTTGCTTTGCAATCTCAACCGTTGAAACAATATGGCCAATGGCTGGGGCTGGGATGAACACAAGGTGTGCTGGTATCTTCATCGATTTGGGAAGTTGGGATGAAGATCTATGCTGCTGAACTTGAATATGTTGCCTATCCTAATATTTATTTATACATACGACATGTCTGAATGTGCCAACTCAGCCCACCAACTACAATAAATAACACATAAATGCAGTGGGTAGTCAGGAGATATTTTTATATGTTCCGGGTATACGACGGTAATTGATGTATCATCCAATAAACATAGAACATGTGAAATTATTGTCCAACATACTGCGTTACTTTTTATGACATGTGGCGGACTGCATTGAAAATATTTCATATGTCCTCCAAATGGTACACCAGCCACGTGGTGTACCCTGAACACCCAAATGGACTAAAGCAAATAACAAAACTTCTCTAGACATCCACCCAATGGAATCAAAGCAGAAACCGAACAAGTGAATCTGGTTGCCAATAAGAGCATCTCCACCCGGATTAAATGTTCCAAGTACACCATGTGTCTGGTGTACCATCCAATAAACATAGAACATGTGGAATTATTATCCAACTTACTGCATTTCTTCTTATGACATGTGGTGGACTGCATTGGACATATTCCATATGTCTTCTGTCTATTGAATGGTACACCAACCACGTGGTGTACCGGAAACACTCAAAAATTACTCCTCCACCCGAGTTTTCAAAAGCCAGGTGGAATGCTAAACGGCTAGAAAAGGTGGCTGACTCATATCCACCCAAAGTGCTACGTGTAATAAGGTCTTGTGAAGCAGCGACAATTTTGACAGCAAGAAACAAAGACGTTATTTCAATTAAAAATACTTTTATTAGAGTATCTCCAAGGGAGATGTCAAATACCAAACATCAAATTTAAATTTGATGGCTGATGTGGCAATTTGACATCTTACACAGCTTTACACTCCACCCGATATGTCAAATTAAATTATTATTTTATTACATTTTAGTGTTGATTTTTTTTTAATTAAAAAAAATGAAAAAAAAATAATAAAATATTCATTTGACATCTTGCTTTTGGGATGTCAAAAATAACATCTCAATCTTCAGCCTTCATTCCACATCAGCTTTGACACATCGGTTGGAGTGTGTGAGATGTTATTCCTAGCTGTTAAATGTTTATGTGGCACTTTTGACATATCGATTGGAGATGCTCTTAGATGTTTTTACATTTCAATTTTGACATTTCCCTTAAAAATGCTATAATATTTGGATGTTTTTATTGGGACTACATTTATTTACTACCACATTGCTCACCACCCCTTCGGTGATGTTTTAACATAATGGGATATACATCAAGCGGATAAATGTTTAAAGCATGTAAAGTCCTAAAAAAAACATGTAGTAGAGTGAGCAATAATGACATGCAAAGTCAATGAGTTAAAGAAAGAAATACTTTTATTAGATGGGACAATATGCTTGAAAGAAGAAAAAGTATTATTAAGAATAAAAATGGGAGCTTCATATTCATGTCCAATATAAGGGCTCAAATTATAATAAAACCCAACATGAAAAACACTTTAGAAACACATCTAAAACCCATTTACAACACGCCAAACACGTGTCAAACATGCTATAAATTACAACAG